TCTCGATTCCGGGGTCTCTTATGAGAATGAGAGCCCGTTGCTTGACTCGGCTTGGAAGCCGAAGGAAGCACCACTTTAGACTTTTTAGCGGCAGTCGTCTCGACTGCCGCAGCAGGAGTGACAGAATCAGAACCTCCCTGAGACCCTTGAGGGATAAGGCGGGTGGCTGGTTTGCTGGATGGCTCAGCCTTTTTTTTCTCAAAACGAGCCAAAGCTCTTTCTGAAAAAAAAAAAAAAGAACATGATCAATACAAACGAGCACGCGAGCCATACATGAAGACCGAAACAATAGCATAAAAGCACGAGGCCAAATAATTGAGTAAGCAAATCGAAAAAAAAAAAAACGATAAACAAAGAAGCTTACAAGGGTCGTCAAGCCGATGAACACCCTTGTCGATACAAATACCAACATGATTAAGTAAGGAACTATCTTTAGTCAACTGACGATCTCTCCACACATGTTTGTTTAATGCTTCTAACATATCCGCGAACAGCGAGGAGTCTGGGCGTTTAGGTTGCTTTGGCTTGCTGGTAATCCACTCATTCGAGAAAGGATATTGGCCAGGGGCAGGTCGAATAAAGAAATACTTCTTCTTCCATTCGGTAATGTTGGAAGACAGGTCGTCAAGGAAGGTAACGCCTACTCGACGACCCAGACAATGGGCGTCTTTGCTAAACCTATACCCGTAGCAGTAAAGAAAAAACTCGGGTAGAAAATCACCCAAAACTACGCGGGTAACAACTATGAAAGCTACCATTATTTGAATGGAATTAGGGGTGAATTGATTTATGGGTACATCGAAAAGATTACTTATTGACAGTAACTCGGGTTGAATCGGGAAACGCAAGCCCGACATTATTTGATCCACGAAAAAAGTAAAACAGCCCTTAGGAGGGTGACGGAAGTCGTCTTCAGGTTTGGGGGCGACCAAAGCCCAATCAGCGGGAAGGCCACTGTACTCTCTGAAGCCATCGATCTCGGCTGCAGGAGCATAAGAAAACGATATTAAGAACTTTGTCACAGAACACGCTGCAGTTATAGTCTCGATTAAAAGAGTCATTATCAGTAAAATAACAAGGATGGCCGCATATATGAGGACGTCAAGAAGAACCTAGCGGAAATACCTCGAGGAACCAAGTCGGGGTAAGAAGATTCAAGAGCTTGGAGAACATCAGGATCCTCACAAAGTGCGCCCGAAAGCAGCGCCTGATTGTATACGTTCCAATCGATACCAAAGGATGAGGCATTGGAGTTGACAGAGTCCTCTGGTTCGGTGTTCTGATAACACTAACCAGTATCGACTAAGTGGACGGAGTCCGAACCCGAGTAGCCATCGATTTCACGGGCCAGAGAACCCGAGACAGGATCAGAAATGGGGTCGAGGTTGGGACCTAAAAAAAAAGGAAGAAAGAGAAAATCAGTAGGCATGGGAAGACGCAACCGAGATTCGACTCTAAAAGGTAAAGGTCGACAAAAGGATCAAAAGGGCAATCCGGCAACAGGCAGGAGAAAAGAAACAAAGAAAAAACTCCTCGTCTCGACTCGACTTGACGAGCAAAAGTCGAGTCATAGAAAGAAATCCCTCATAACGAGACGACTGATAGATGAAAACACTTGAAGAAATGGAAAGCCTACGATTAAGGATCTAACGAGAAAATCGCCAGAAAGTTCATGAAAAAGGCCCAGAAAATCCGATGAACATGCAAGCCCCAAGCATATCGCCCAGAAAAGCAAAAAAGAAAAAAAAAATCACATATAGCACTAGATTGAAAGGCAAGGAGAACTTACTCATACTCATGGTGGTTGATATAATACGCCGGAATGAGGGAAGAGCGCCGGAAAGCTTGAAGAATGCTGTATTTTCCAGAGAAGGAGAGTTCAGGAAGATTGAGTGCGAAAAAGTGAAGAAGAAAAGAGGGAGAGAATACTTATAGGGGAAGTGGAAGAAACCCTAGCCCTCAGATTAAAGGCAGATTCAACGGATGAGATGGCGCACGGAATACGAAGCGGCGGAAAGAGAAAGTGTCTTATCAATGCTCAAGACCCCATTTTTGAATTTGGAAATTTAAAAAGATTCGGACTTATCTAACCAATTCGAAATCTGATTGGGTAAACAAGCCGCTTCACAAGTCGAAATAATGAGTAGACGTGGCATAGAGCAAGGACAGGCGACATGGTATATGAAAAGATTCGAGTGACACATTCAGTCGACACAATCTACTCGTAAGCTCAGAGTCGCTTCGAGTAATTTTGGGGGGCACTAGATGATATAGCCATACTGTCGTGTAACGGTTCAATACCATCGCGGTTCATAGATTACCGAGTCTACTTACGCGAAGTCGACTCTGTCCGCAGACTCTTTATGGTATCTCCGGTCAAGGATCCAGGCATCTCTCCCAGTCGACTTCCACATGTCGACTAGCAAAAGAGGATTTCCTCTTGAAAGACGGTCAAACACGTGAGGATCTACTAACAATCGAATATGACCCATTCGACTCGAGTTGATACCCCGAGTCGACTGAGGAAGTCTTGAAGCTCATAAGATCTCGACTACTCCAGTACACTTCAACAAATCGAAGGACAGTTAAGGATAAGAAGGAAGCTACCAAAGATAAGAAAGAATCTAGATGCTGACTTGGAAGTGGACGGAATGCGAACCGACCAGGGTATTTTGGACATTTCCAGTAAGTCGGCCAGGGCATTTTGGGGACTTCAGGTAAATGTTTTGCTTCTATATAAAGGAGCTGAGGTAACTCCAAAACCCTAACTCCCATTCATTCCACATTCTCCCTCATTGCTGCTGCTTCCTCAGAGCAGCTCTTTTCACTCTTTTCACATACTGACTTGAGCGTCGGAGGCTCTACGCCGGAAATCCCTCCGGCGTTGAGTTCTTGCAGGTGTTCTTGCAGTTCAACAACGGTTCGAAGGCCCTCAAATCAGATCTGAGCTCATTCACACCGGTTCATCCCAGATCCGATCGTTTTCTCATCGGGCCGTTCCAGATCTGAGAAGAGACCCATCAATATATATAAATATTAAAAATCCTCATTTAAAATACTAAGTTGAGAAGGATATTTAAAGTTAAGATAATTTTAAATTCCTAAGGCCTCCATTTCTAATTTGTTGGTAAATCAATTAATTGATAGTGTGGGCTTCCCCGAGGATGACATTACTTGAAAATTAATTGAAGGATAATTATCAAAACGAATTTCTAAATTTAGACGGTTAGAGGAAATCGAATGAGAGCGTACGGGTCACCCCGAGGTGAACGTATAATCGATTTTGACGACCTTAGGACCGAGAAATGGGATTCACTTAGAATGCGATTCATTTCATAACCCCCCGAGGGGTCCCTGATTTTTATTGCATGGCCAAACTGTGACCGATTATTAATTTCGTTCGTCATGAAATTGGTTTTGACTAATGGAAATCAATGGGTTCTGGAAAAACCCTTCTTTAAAGAAACGAAGAATTAGTAGAGTTGCCCGAGCATCATACTAAATTCTCAAGGTTTAAGGATGTCGGTGAATTTAAGTTATTATTGTTTTGAGGATGTCAATATTAACAGTTAAATTCAAAATGTTTAATCAGTAAAATATTTTCGTAATTCTCAGGTTTATTCATCATGTCGTTCAATCCGTTGTCTGTTATCCTAAAAGAAAATCAACTCACCGGTCCTAATTACATTGATTGGAAAAGGAACTTAGACATAGTGCTGACTGCTGAAAGCTATAAGTATGTGCTAACTGAGGCTTGTCCTGATGTGCCGGCTGATGATGCCCCAGATGAGGAGAAACAAGAGTATGCTCGGTGGAAGAAGGTTGATGAGATGGCGAAGTGTTACATTCTGGCTTCTATGTCAAATGTCCTTCAACATCAGCATCAATCAATGGCCACTGCTGCTGATATGGGATATCATACCCATTAGGCTGAACCGGTCTATTGACCGGTCGAGGAGGTCGTATTTTGAGGAAGTCAAGGAAATCGAGCAGTTAACCAGTCGACCAAGTAAAGCTATCGACCAAACTATCCTTCGACCAGATACATGATCGGGCAACTTATTCGACCTCAACAGGTCGACTACTTCGAGGACTTAACACCACGTTGATCGGCCTAGTCACAGGCGCGTGAGAGAGCCTCTAACGGAATCCTAGGAGAATATTTACCCCATGTGCAGGGGGACACGTGTCGAGAAGGCAGTGGTGGATAGCGATAACCACCTCTGACAGCCTACCCCATGTGCAGGAGGACACACGTCCAAAGAGGATTGGTGCAGGCGATAGTGGCGACGGCTACCTCTGACACACGCATTTGGTGTGTACGGACGGGCAGTTAGGGCAGACAGCTCATCAAATCTGGGCAGCCCTAGGTCAGGTATCTCACCCCTATATAAAGGGGGTGAGCCTTTCTTCTTCAGGACGATCATTCTACTATTTACTCTTGAGAATTGATTGAACATACACTGACTTAAGCTTCGGAGGCTCTTCACCGGAAAACCCCTCCGGTGTGAGAGTTCTTTGTAGGTGCACGACATTCAACCGGCGAGAAGGAAGGCGATTATTCAAGTTCCAGCCGGTCGAGAAGTTTTGTGTTACCATTTGGCGCCGTCTGTGGGACTTTCGTTTGAAAAGGCGTGCTTGAAGCTCAGCTATGGCGGACGGAATTCCCAAAAACTTACAGTCAACATTCGATGATGCTTGGACGATGACCAGGCCGTTGGGACAAGGTCCTCCCCCGGGTTTTTCTTGCCCATCGCAGACGCCGATCACTCCCCTACCTGTGCTCTAAGGTGTGGGAGCGCCAACGGTGATTCCCGGAGGAGACGCCGGCCCCAACCGTGCTCACGAGGCCCGGGCAGCGGATGCGGCGGCGATGCCACCACCACCACCATAAAGCTCAACGGCAGCGCAACCAGGGGGAGTGGGAGTACAACTGGGAGCGACGGTGGCACAACCGGGAGGAACGGGGATGCAACCAGGAAGAGCGGTGGCCCAAGGAGGAGCACCGCCGCGAGCTGCGGTTCAGGTCCCCGACCAGCAGGTGATAATGACCAGGCAGGAGATGCAACAAATGGTGGCGGAGGCAGCTGCGCAAGCGGTTCAGCAAGTCACAAACAGTCTCTCTCGGGCTACAGCAACGTCGAACACTGTTGCAGGGTCACGCCAAAATGCGGAGGAGGATGAATTCAGCTATGGTGGAGGCGAGCCCACGCATGACCGGGAGATGGAGAGGATGGCGGAACAGCTGCGCCAATTGCAGGCTAAGGTGGATGGTCGAGCGGAGAGGCGTGCTCGAGGACACCCGTTCTCGGCAGACATACTAGCAGCACCCTTGCAAAATAATTACAAGGATACCAACTTGGTGTTCGATGGGACTTCTGATCCGTCGAGACACGTGAGGACATTTGAAAATATGGCTGTGTTGCATGGATATACTGATCCCGTTAGTTGCAGGGCCTTTTTATCGACCCTTAGGGGAGGGGCGCTCGACTGGTTCCAACAGCTCCCCCCAGGCTCGATAGTGGACTTCGAGGATTTTGCAGAAAAGTTGACAAATCAATATTCGAGCGCGGTGGCTCAGGAGAAAATGTATTTGACATTGATGGCGATAAGACAAGGCGAGAAGGAGTCACCGCGCAAATATGTCGCTCGATACAATCAGGCTTGTTTAGAGATTCCATCGGCGGTCGATGAGGTCAAGGCGGGCGGATTGATTAGGAGTTTGCGGGCAGGACCGTGTCGGACTTCTCTGGCTAAGACGCCTGCTCATACGTATGATGAGGTGTTTAGGAGGTGTAGGAAATATATTAATCTCGAGGAGACCGAGGCGGAGTTTGCCAAACTAGAGGAGTTAGGTCGAGGGGAGTCGAGGAAGGAGAAAGCAGTTTCGCCTAAAAGGAAAGCCTCACCCATGAGAGAGGGGAGAGCTAAGCAGGATCGGGGACGAGAGGACAGATGGAAGGACCGGCCTATCTCTGGAGGGAAAAGGTTCCATGATTACACCCCATTGAACGCGAAGGTAGCTGAGATTTTGATGGCCATGGAGAAAGGGATAGATGGGAAAGATGTGACGTGGCCAAGGTCGAGGTTCGAAGGGCCAACCCAACCGAAGTCGAGGAGATATTGCCGCTTCCACAAAGACTATGGCCATACTACTGAGGATTGTCGGCATCTCAAGGACGAGATTGAGCGCCTTTTCGAGCAGGGCACCTCAAGGAGTTTGTTTATCAGGATAAGGGGAGGAGGAAGGAGAAGAGAAGGTGTAACACCCCGCCTAATTATTTCTAGAATTTATAAAATCAGAGTAAAATTTTTGCATTTTATTTTCGAAAAACTCTTAAACTTTATTTTCGAAAATACTCGTACTAACTTGCGGGATGCTACTAACTTAAACTCTTTCTCATGCAGACGTAAATAAATACATGCAACCTAATCAAATCCGTTATATAAAGGTACCACGGAGATAAAGGCATTATACATGCATAAGTCTGATAATCTCATAATACATACTAAGTCTGAAATGTGCGGAAGCTGAAACATAATATGTCTACGCATAGTAATGATAGTACATGTTCAATAAATGACATGCAGATGCGTTACAAAAAGACTGCCAATGACCATGACCACCACTGAAATCTCACGCGCCACGCGCCGCTCCGTCACCTGAAAAACGTAATGGGGGCGTGAGCAAAACCACTATGCTCCGCAAAGACCAGTACTTAAATGCAACATCGTTAATAACAATATCATGACTTTAAGTATATAAGAACTGATCTGAACTGAAACTGTAACTGGGGCATCTGGTGGTCATAAAGACCCTGGGGCTTAAAAGCTAATCATGTGCACACTCCGGGGGATCATTAAGGCCAATTAAGGCCTCCCTCAGAATCACGGGGAAACATTAAGGCCCGCCACGGCCTCCCTCATGATGATCTAACTATTTCTCATACATACCTCGGACATGGTACGGAAATTAAAGATGAAGTATAACCAGTACGTGACCCCCACCTGATAACTGCTACTGCTAGGCGAGTGCTGACTGACTGGTAGCTGTCAGAGGCTCGACTCTCCTTAAGCTACATAAATATTTGAGCAAAATGTACTAAGTACTAAGCTCAAATAAAACTTGATTCTTATTATTAATAAATCTTACTCGGTTCTCTCGCTCGATTAAAATATCATTTAAGCTGGATTTAGATGCTTTGAGCTGTTCTGAAAAGATTTGTTGACTTTAAGGCATTCTAGAGTTCTCTGAAATATTACTAAGTCTGGACTGCTTGTCTGATTTATCTGATCTAACTTATCTGACTGATCTGATCTTATTTATATGATTGGGTGCAACTCGACTTAATCGTGGTCCGGGTGCATACGCACGGACACGACATCAGTCGACGCACAACTTTTCTACTCGGATCTAGAGTTCATCCGGACTGACCGAAAAAGGCCAGACTAGGGTTCTCTACTCACCCGGCTATTTTTCTCGGTTCAAGTCAAAAACTCATACTTTAAGTTCAACTCGATTTCTAATAATTTTAGCTAAGTCTCAACCGGATAAAATCTAGGGTTTTCACCAAACCAGCTAAAGTCTCGAATTTATAGGCATGTCAAACAACCTCCAAAAATTACGAAATTTAAACCACGACATATTCATCATTTATAGGATTTTTCGTGAAAGTTTCATCAAATTCCGAGGTCTTATCATATTTCTCATAAATCGGGCATTTCAGCTACATATTCAAAAATCCAGTTAACATACTAAACGAGCACCAAAAATTATGAAATTAAAACTTAGGCCTCAAGTCAGCTATACGAATTTTATCATATTTTTTTCGACATTTTTAACGCGCTTATCGAAAATATCAATTTACTCGCTTTAAGCTCGTGTATACCGATCCAACTCCAATCAACATCTCAATTAATTTATGTCTCGTTTTTATCATAACTTTATTCCATATAATTCAAGTCTTTAGATATTATACCTCACGAGATCGGAAACGAGCGGATCGGACTAGAAAATGGAAGAAAAACGGAGCAAGAAGCCGGTCGGGTCGGACCGGTCCAACTAGGAGCTGCTTTGGACCGGATTTTTGGGTGCTGTGGGTAGAGCCGGGTCAAAGAAACGCAGCAGCTGGGTCTTAGGCAGATCTGGACTGTTGACCGGGTCAAAGAACCCAGAATGGTTCGGATCTAAGGGCTGCTGGGGCTTGGAACCGAGTGCTGGGCTCGCGGGTTACGGGTCTGCTGTTCGGGTCGCGCCAGACGGGCTGGGAAAGCTGGGCCAGACTGAAACACACGCGGGCTGACGCGGGCTGTGGTCGGGCTTCGCGGGCTGGCGTCTGTGAGGGAGCGCGGGCTCACTGCGGGCCTCAAAGCCCGCGCACTTAATCCAAAAAAATAAACTGACGCTTCGCAAGGAAGGGAATCGAACCTGCGACCTCTCACGGAGAAGGCGCCCAGAAGACCGCTGGGCTACAAGCTTGGTTGTGAGCTCGGGATGGGGCTGCGTATTTTGGTCGGAAAAACTGGAGCTGGAGTCGCGTGAGGTGCGGGATGGGGTTGCGTTCTGGACGAGAGCTGCGGCCTGGGGCTGAGCTTGGTCATGAGCTGCTCGGAAATTCGGTCGGAAATTTGGTGAGAAGATGAAGCTCAATCCATGGTGTTGGATCTTGAAAATGGATGATGATGAATAGTGCTTTGGGGTGGCTAGGGTTTATGCTTTTTGTTGTGATGTTGGGGGACAAGGAACATCTATTTATAGATGGGTAGGGAGCTTAGGGTTTGTAGGAATTGGGCTAGCTCTTGGGCTTAAAAAAAAATCGGGCCTAATCAATTGGGCTCGATTTAGGAAAATAAATACCGATAAATGGACCGAATAAATCATGTCGGGCTCGGTAATATAATTGCTACTAGGCTCGATTTTAAAATACTACTTGGGCTTAGTAATAATTAAATTATGCAATTAATATTAATAATTCTCCGCATAATTAAAATAATACTAATACCGATAAATAAGTCGAGCTATTAATATAATATTATTCCGGGGTGTTACAGAAGGTGTCGGGACGACTCGGTGGAGAGGAGCGAGGAAGATGATGATGAGGATGCACGAGGTGGTCGAGATGGTCGAAAAAGAGATGAGGGGAAGAGGAGGCAAGGAAGTAGGGAGCGGGAAAGAGAAGGAGATGGAGGCCAAGTCAAGAGAGGCACGATATATATGATTTCAGGAGGACCGACTGACGGGGACTCGAATAATGCGAGGAGAGGCCATGTTCGAGCAATGAAAAGGAAGAGGGAATAGGTGAGTATCACAGCCCGAGTACCAGAAATCAGTTTTCTAGCAGAGGATGCAGCAGGGGTGGTGGTGGTGCCTCACAATGATGCCTTGGTAATTACGGCTGAAGTTGCAGGTTTTGACGTAAAAAGGGTGTTCATAGACACAGGGAGTTCAGTCGATATCATGTTTTATGATTGCTTTGTGCAAATCAATTTGGAGTTGAATGTGGAGCTGAAGCCGGTGGCCACGGCCTTGTATGGTTTTAACGGCGGGGAGGTTATGCCAATGGGAGAAGTGACTCTATCTGTAGCACTGGGAAAGGGAGCAACTCGGAAGGTTCGAATGGTGAGATTTGTGGTCGTAGGAGCTGAGTCATCCTACAACATCATAATGGGGAGAACGAGCCTGAACGCGTTCCAGGCGGTCGTATCCACGTACCACATGACAATCAAATATCCGGTGGGCGAAAACGTTGGTGAGATCGCTGGGGATCAACTTACCTCGAGAAGCAGCTACCAGACCACTGTGAGCAACAATAAGCAACTAGTGAGGAAGCAGATGCATCCAAAGGGGGAGGAAGTTAATCGACCGGGAGGGTCGAGGTCGAAGGAGGAAGACATAAACCAGAGAAGGGGAAGGAGAATGCCGAAATGCAGCCGGGGGGTGAAGTGGAGGAGATACAGATGGTCGAGGGTTGCGAAGAGAGGAAGTTCCGGATCGGGAGGGAATTGGAGAAGCCGGTGAAATCGAGGCTAATTAAGGTGATAAGAGATTTTGCGGATGTGTTCGCATACTCGACGGAGGAGTTGACCGGCATCAAGGCCGAGGTTATTGAGCACCGGTTGAACATCGACCTCACGGTAAGACCGGTGAAGCAAAAAAGGAGACACCACGGGGCAGAGATGGATAGAGTAATCGAGGTGGAGGTAGAAAAACTCTTGGTGGCAAGTCACATAAAGGAGATCCAGTTCCCAGAGTGGCTATCGAACACGGTTATGGTCTCAAAGTCAGAGGGGAAATGGAGGATGTGCATAGATTTTCGAGATTTGAACAAGGCATGCCCGAAGGATTTATATCCACTTCCAAGGATCGACCAGCTGGTCGACTCCACAGCCGGGTGTGAGTTACTCAGTTTGATGGACGCATCCCAGGGTTATCATCAGATCCCACTAGCTCGAGAGGATTGGAAAAGGGTCAGCTTTGTAACAAGCCGTGGAACATACTGCTATGTGGTGATGCCATTCGGTCTAAAGAATGCAGGGGCGACATATCAGAGTTTGGTGGATAAAATCTTTAAGGACCAGCTGGGAAGGAACATGGAGGTATATGTAGATGATATGCTGGTAAAGAGCAAAGAGGAAATTTACCATGTAAACGACTTGAAAGAAACATTCATGACCCTCCGGAAGTATGGGATGAAGCTGAATCCCGCTAAGTGCTCATTCGGGGTCAAATCTGGGAAATTTTTGGGCTGCATGGTCACAAGGAGGGGAATCGAGGTGAACCTGAAGAAGGTGAGGGCGGTGATCGAGATGCAGCCCCCCACGAAGGTGAAGGAGGTGCAGATCCTAACTGGTCGAATAGCAGGCCTGAGTCGCTTTATTTCTAAGGTAGCTGAGAAAAGCGGGCCCCTATTTAAGACACTCAGGAAAATCTTGAAATTCCAGTGGACAGAAGAAGCCGAGAAAGCATTCGAGGAGTTAAAGAGGGTGCTGGTCGACCTACCACTATTAGCAAAACCGGTGCAAGGGGAGGACTTGGTGTTATATATATCCATTGGTGAGACGGCAGTGAGCTCGGTGTTATTGCGGGAGGAAGGGACAGCCCAATTTCCAATCTATTACGTGAGTAAGGTGATGCAAGGGGCGGAGAGGAGGTATTCAGAGATTGAGAAAGGGGCTTTGGCGGTGGTGGTCACCGTAAGGAAGCTGAGACCATACTTCTTGGGACATAGGGTGAAGGTCCGAACGAATATGCCATTGGGAGAAACACTGGGTCGACCCTCCGTGTCGGGGCGGTTAGTCAAATGGGCAGTTGAGCTGAGTGAATACACAATTATCTATGAGCCGAGGAGGGCGATTAAGGCTCAAGCACTGGCCGATTTTATACAAGAGGGGACGAAGGAGAGCGAGGAGTCTGAAGGGGTGTGGCAGGTGTTTGCAGATGGATCGGTGTCGAGGGCTGGAGGTGGCCTAGGCATCGTACTTATGTCGCCGAAAGGTGACAGCCTGGAGTTCGCAATCAAGGTGGCCTTCCAGATATTGAATAATGAAGCAGAATACGAGGCGGTCATTAAGGGACTCAAACTGGCCTTAAGTGGCGGAGCTCGAGCAGTACAGGTACATTCGGATTCACAATTGGTGGTGGGTCAATTCCAGGAAGGGTTTGAGGTCCGGGAGGAAAGGATGATGAAGTATGTGGAGGAGATAAAGAAACTGCAGGGAGAGTTTGATTCTTTCGAATTAATCCAGATACCTCGAGGAGAAAATGGTCGAGCGGATCTGTTAGCTAAAGTGGCACAAAGTCTGGTGGACTGCAAGAGCAGAAGTGTGACCTTGCTACACATGGAAAAGAGTGTGGTCGAGAAGGAAGTGGTCGAGATAGAAGAAGTCGAGGATTGGAGGGCACTGATAATAAAGGAATTGAAGGAAGGAGCCGTTAAAGTGATAAGGAGATTTTTTGAGCATGGAAGGATTCTCTACAAGAGGTCGCACGCGGGCCCCCACTTGCGATGTGTAACCAGAGAAGAAGGGCGATATGTGTTGAAGGAGATTCACGAGGCTGTTGCAGCGACCACAGCAAGGCAGGTTCCCTGGTAGCAAAGGCTCTAAGAGCAGGATATTTCTGGCCAACGATGAGAAAAGATGCAAAAGAGATGGTGCGGAAATGTTTGCAATGCCAGAAACACGGCCCACTCATTCACCAACGGCCGAAGCTATGACAGCGATGAGTTCTCCCATCCCGTTCGCTCAATGGGGGATCGACCTGGTTGGGCCCATGCCCCAAAGAACTGGACAGAGGAAGTTCTTGATTGTCGCGGTCGATTACTTAACAAAGTGGGTGGAGGCTGAACCCCTGGCAAAGATCACGGAGGAGAAAGTGATGCATTTTCTATACGATAACATATGTTGCAGGTTCGGAGTTCCTAAAGTGTTGGTGTCGGACAACGGGACCCAGTTCAATGGCAAGCGGATCCGGGCATGGTGCGAGGACATGAAAATTGATCAACACTTCGCTTCAGTCGCACACCCGCAGGCCAACGGGCAGGTCGAAGTGACCAACAGAATTATATTGAACGGTCTGAAAACAAGGTTGGAGAAGACATCGGGAGCATGGGTGGATGAACTTACTTCGGTGTTATGGGCGTACAGAACAACGCCCCGATCGACCACTGAGGAGACATCGTTCAGTATGGTATACGGCATGGAAGCTTTGTTGCCAATAGAGGTCGAGGTTCAGTCCCAAAGATCGAGCACGTATGATCGAGAACAGAATGAACATCTGATGATGGCAGCATTCGACACAATCGAAGAGCTTCGAGAGAAGGCAACAATCAGAGTCGAGGCGTACAAACAAAGGATGCGAGCAGCGCATGATAGAAAAGTGAAAACACGAAGATTCCAAGTGGGTGACTTGGTGTGGAAGAGAGTCGATGTGCTGAAGCACGTCGTGAAACTAGATCCAAACTGGGAAGGACCATACCTGGTCGAAAAGGTCCATGCTGGAGGGGCATACTCTTTAAAGGATGCTGAAGGAAGATCTCTAGCCAGGTCATGGAATGTGGCTAACTTAAAAAAATATTATGCTTAAAATTTTTTCTTTTTTTACTCATTACCACCAATGTAATGAAATGCTTTGCTCGATGATGAATGAAATGGCGTATTGAAGTTTCTACAATTTACTGTTTACCGAATTAACTTTATATAATCTGAATCCCTGGATTAACCTTGATGACAGGCTGTATGTGAAAAATCCATCATGATTAAGGCCATGAGGCTGGATGGTCGCATGTAACGACCACCCCTTTGAGGGCGGGCATGCGTTTCGAAGGAAAAATCCATCATGATTAAGGCCATGAGGCTGGATGGTCGTATGTAACGACCACCCCTTTGAGGGTGGGCATGCGTTTCAAAGGAAAAATCCATCATGATTAAGGCCATGAGGCTGGATGGTCGTATGTAACGACCACCCCTTCGAGGGTGGGCATACGTTTAAAGGCAAAAATCCATCATGATTAAGGCCATGAGGCTAGATGGTCGTATGTAACGACCACCCCTTTGGGGGTGGACATACGCTCAAAGGGAAGATACACATTTGAAACTGAAAGACATGCTGACCGTATATTTAAGATTCATCTCAATGACCTCATGGAAGAGGTCATAAATACATCTAATCAAGTCATCACAAGCGTTATTGAAAGTAGAAATGAAATCAAATAAAACATTGCCATTTCAAGGAAAGATCACGAAGTTTATCAAAATACACAGATGTCAAAAGAAAATAAAATAAAAATAAAATACAACACAAACTAATCTATGGAGGCAGAGCAGCAGCAAAGTCGGCATTGCTCGAATTAACGTTTTGATCAGGAGGAGTAATACTAGAGGTGGAATCGCAGGCATCATCGAGAGGACGCTGTCGGATAGACTCAGCTAAAGCGGCCAACATATGAGCGGGAGGAGTTAGACCATCGGGCAAGGCATATGTCTTCTTGAGTATATCTGATCGAGCCAAGGTTCTTTCGAGCAACCCAGACCACCACTCATGTTCGAGTGGCAAGGTTGGATCACCCTGAAAGCTAGGATAAATCTTGGGCAAGGCGTCCCAAATAGCCAAGGGATCGAGTTGCTCGAAATCATCCTCAGCGATCTGCTCGCCTGCCTTCTGAAGGGCAAACTGAAAACAGTCTACCCAAAAATCTTGAACCTCCTTCAGATACTGTGGCGACTGCACGAAATCGGCCACCGTTTGGGCACGATATTCTTTGAGGAAGAGTTGCCCTGTGGTGGTCGCCCACATCATTTGCCGAGCTCGGAGAGCCGCTGCATCAGCGTAGCGCTTGAGTTGGTGAGCATGGGCAGCCCTTTCCTTAGTTAAAGTGGCGTCTGACTCTGCTCGAGCAGCTTCCTCTTGGGCTCGAGCAGCCTCTGCCTGTGCCCGAGCCGCTTCTAAATCTGCTCGAGTATTTTCTGCCTCAACCCGGGCAGCTCGCTCCTGCTCGAGTGCCCTCTCTCTCTCTCCTTCAACGCAGCTTTCTTTTCCGCCACTGCCGCCTCCTTAGCTACGAGGGCAGCGTCTCTTTCCGCGAGAGCCTTGCTTTTATTATTGAGCTCTTCATCAAGGGATCGAAGCTTGACGTCGAACTCAGTCTTCTGCTCCACTTGGGTCTCGCGGAGCTTGGAATTATGCTTTACGAGAATCGAGTTCTTATCCTGCAGAAACTTAATTGTGCTCTCGAG